GGGGGGGCTGGGGGGGGGGATCCCCGCTGTGCAGCACATTCCCCTTCCTCAAACATCCCCCAAACGCGTCTGATTGTCCTCGCTGGAAGGGAGGGTTGTGTCCCGCGAGGCAGGTGGAGGGGGTGTGGGGGGGGGGATTGTGGAAAAATAAACAGGACGTTTTGTGCCAAGACGGTGCTTTGGGTGTCGGTGCAGAAGGGAGTGAGCGAGTCCTGGATGTGCGGGAAGCGAAGGGTTTGCGTTGAGCTACACGGAGTCATGGAACAGAATCACAGAATCACTGAGGTCAGAAGGGACCTTAAAGACCATCAGGTTCCAACCCCCCTGCCATGGGCAGGGAACCACCAGCCCAGGCTGCACAAAACCTCCTCCAACCTGGCCTTAAACACCTCCAGGGATGGGACATCAACAACCTCCCTGGGCAACCCATCCCAGCTCCTCACCCCCCTTACAGTGAAGCATTTCTTCCTGATATCTAACCTACATCTCCCCTCTCTCAGTTTCAAACCATCCCCCCTATGACTAGTGTCCTATCACTGCCTTCTCTGATGAAAAGCCCCTCCACACGTGGAGTTTCAGATGGCTTCCAGGAGGGAAGTGACATGAATTCACAGCTCATAAATGAGCACTTGTTCCAGTCGGGAGGTCTGGACATCACGCTGTGCTGGCTGGGCAACAAGGCACTTGCCTTGTGATCTTGGGTTCCACAGAAAATCACTTACACGGGTCGAAATTGTGCGTGCTTGTAAGCAGGGAGCTGTGTTGATGAAGACCACAGAGGAAGGAGTCATAGAACCATAGCATGGTTTGGACTGGAAGGGACCTTAAAGCTCATCCAGTGCCACCCCTGCATGGGCAGGGACACCTCCCAGCAGCCCAGGCTGCTCCAAGCCCCATCCAACCTGCCCTTCAACACTGCCAGGGATGGGGCAGCCACAGCTTCCCTGGGCAACCTGGGCCAGGCTCTCACCACCCTCACAGCACAGAATTTCTTCCTAATATCTAACTGAAATTTACCCTCTTCGGCTTAAAACCATTCCCCCTTGTCCTTTCACTCCCTGCCCTTGTCAAAAGTCCCTCCCCAGCTTTCCTGCAGCCCCTGCAGGTTCTGGAATGTGCTCTAAGTTATCTCCAGATCCTTCTCTTCTCTTTATACATGCACAAAAAAACCTCCAAACCAACCTATAGAAAGCAGCTTGCTAAACTGATATACACCTTAATTAGAAGAGTAAGTAGAAAGCTGTAAAGCCTTCCCATTTTGATTCTTCAGCATTAGAATATAGTTTATTGTAATCATATTGCTGATTAACTTGTAGATAATGTCCTTGCCAAAGGTGGTAAAAGAAAAAAAGCAAAGCTAAGAACAGAACAAAGCTGAGAGTCCCAAGCTGCTGAATTCACGTGGCTGCCTTCTGGCCAGGATCTCTGTGAGAGCAGTTTGCCCCACTCCTGAGCCTCAAGAAGTTGTCATTAAGCAGAAATCCTGCAAGTAGGCAAATACCAGGACCCTGACCCAGGTTCTGTCTGTAACAAGCCCATCTATGCATGCAACTGCTGGGGTTTTTTTTCTTGTTAAGTTTTCTCAGTGTCAGCTCCAGGCCTTTTCTCCAGCAGTGGCCAGAGAAGGATGCCTAGGAAGAAGCAGGAGAGCGTGACTAGCAGTATGATGGTTGGACTGGATGATCTTGAAGGTCTTTTCCAGCCTTGATGAATCTATGGTTCTCTGATACTTCCCCCAGTGCACCCCTGGAAACCATTTTCAGGCTGGGGATGCTGAGTTGCCTGCTGCTCTTGCAGGAGGTGGATTTGTAACCCCAGTGTTGAGAGCAAGGGAAGCTTTTTAAAGAACCTGGGACTGTTACTGTACCAAACTTCCTTTCTTCAGTTAGGTTTCTTCCTTGTTTTCCCACCAGGGCTATGAATACAGCCGGAGTGGAAACCCTACCCGGAACTGCCTGGAGAAGGCTGTGGCAGCGCTGGATGGAGCTAAATACTGTGAGCAGTTAAGGTGTCCCTCAAGCAGGGTGCCAGCATGAGTGTGTCTGCCTGCCTACAGCAGGCACAGCTCGGGGGGCACAGACACAGAGCTGTCAGCAGCAGCTGTGCCACGGCCAGGCTGTCACAGCCTCTGACTGCTCTGCACGAGCTGCCCTGTGGCGTGAAAAGGGTCCAACACTTGCCACCCAGGAAGGTCCAGGTCAGCCCCTGGGCTTTCTGTCACATTTCCTCTGGCTGCACATGATGCCCAAGGCAGATGGGATCTCTCCTTGTGCAGCAGCAGTGGCCATAGTGGGGAGAGGGAGCCGGGCAGCAGCTCTTCCCAGGCTGTGTTAGCAGGGCTCATCCTGGCTTCCACCCTGAGGAACCCCAGGCTGCCCCTTTTGCTGCACCCATTCCAGGAGGGAGCTAGCACAAGTGACACAACAGGCTCCTTTTAGAAGCAACGTGAGGAAAGCAAAGGCAAGTCTGACAAGGTTGTATCACATGAGAGTACAGTCTGTCTGCCACTCTTTTCTCTTCCAGGTTTAGCTTTTGCTTCTGGTTTAGCTGCTACTTTGAATATTACTCACCTGTTAAAGGCAGGGGACACGATTATCTGCATGGATGATGTCTATGGAGGTATGTAAAGCAAAAGCGTGGCTTTGATCTTAATTATGCAAATGATGAAATGCATATATTTTTGATTCTTGTGAACTTTCTGAATTTCCCACAATTTCTCTTCACTTCATGAGAACACAGAACACTCCTGGGTCTGCTTTTGGTGTTAGAAATTCAAACACTGAAAGATTTTGTGGCACAACATGGGGGGTTTAAAAAATACAGCTAATTAATAATACATGCTTGAATGAGGGGAAAACAGCCACATCCTAGCCTTGCACAGGTCTGTTTGCAGAGCAGGACCCCCTGCAGTCCAGCACAGCTGAGCTTTTCAGCTTCTCGTATTTCTCCTCAGCCTTGCCTAGGTTTGACCCTTTACCAACCAGCTTTTTGTCTGGGCTGTTTCAGACATCTTCTGTCTGAAAGCACAACTTGCAGCTGTTATACCCATGTCTCCCCAGTGCTTCAGTGATGCTGCAGCCCCCTTGCAGGGCTTTTTTTTGATCCATTCTTCCAAGAAACTCCCCAGTGCATCCATCTCTGCCAAAGTCCTTCAAAAGGTTGATGCCACCCAAAAGTCCCTCATAGGGAGGACATCTCCCAGGATGCCCTGTGACAGTCAGTGTCCTCAGTGCCCAAGCCTCGTGTTTCACTGATGAGCAAAGGTTGTCTTGGCACAAAGAGATCAAGTCTGTGTTCTTTCCAAAGGAAGGTTAGAGAGGTCAGCAACAGGTTGTTTGCCCAGCAACAGCTGGAACACTTTTAAGCAAGAGTAGTCACCTTTTCCGTTGTCCTGCTAGTCAAGGTTCTCAGAAAAACAGCAAAAGGAAACAAAAAGCTCTCAGGCAAGGTGTGAAAGCTTGTTGCCTGCTGCGTGTTCAGGAGATCTGAATTCTGGGGAGGAGTGAGGAGGAGCTGCAGGGAGTTGGCACCACAGAGTTTTGAGGTGTTGTGGTAAGTCCCTGGAAGGGCTGCTCTCAGTGGAGCCTCTCGCTCCCACCTGAGGTTTTCTGCAGTGCTGCTACTCAGAGTGTGTAAGACCAGTAGAAAGCAACTCCTTTGTGGTTTGTAGAGTTGACAGCCTATGTGAAAACTTCCCATGCTTGAATAAACTTCTTACAGCACAAGAGAGAATATAAGGTATAGCTTCTTGTAGAAATAAAAGTGTTTCCTTAAAAAAAAAAGTCACCCAGGTGTAGTGCTCAGCACACAGAATGATCCCCTGCCTGTTCTGTGACTTTATGGCCTGATGGCAAACTGCTGTCCTGCAGTGAGTAAATGTTGAGTAACCTTGGCAGAAAAACCTAATGAATTAATTTTTAATCCAGGCAGTGTTGCCAGATAGTTAGTATGTTGCACATCTAGTGATCAACTGGTTGCTTCTGGTTTCTTCCTTTCATCTTTCCAATGAAAGGCTTCAAAGACAGAAATAACCACTTTTTATGTTCCTTGCTACGTGCTTATTTAATGGAGTGGTAAGAAACACAGCAGCTGGAGTCTTCCCCGTGATTCTTCTTCCACCAGATTCTCAATTAAGCTTATTAAATGAAAAAGAGTTTGAAAGTATGTGGTGGAAAAAAGTTACTCAAAGTGGGGTGGGAGAAAGAGGATATAAAACCTGGAACCACCAGCTTGTGTATGGCAAAGGGCTGCAGGAAGGGTTAGAGAGGTCTACTTAATTTTCTGATGAAAAAAACCCTGAATAACTATTAATTGAAGGCACTTAATAAATAACTCTGATTCCATATTCCCATTATCTTTGAAACTACGTCGATCTTTAAACTTTTTCGAAATGAATATGAATGGGCCATTTATGGTGTACAGCATAAAACTGTGCCCTCCTGACATGGTGTGGGTGTGTAGAAGAAACAGGAGATCAGTGAAGGAAAGTAAAGGAAGTCGTTTCATTTTGTGTCTCTGTTTTGGTTTGCTTTGGTTTCCTTTTTTTAGGCACAAACAGATACTTTAGGCAAGTAGCCATGGAAATGGGCTTGAACATAGTTTTTGTTGACTGCACAAAAAAGGAATGCCTGGAAGCTGCAATTACACCAAAGACCAAGGTAGGGGAGAGGGAAATGGCTGAACTTACTTGCTCAATGTCATTAAATAATTCTTGCTCTTGTTGTATTGTGTGTGTGTGTCAAGCAGAGGGGGCTGCAGGGGTGGTCTCTGCAGGGACAGGTTGGGCACAGCCAGCTCCAACATATCCCCACTGCAGGCCAGTTGGTGATGGTTGTGGTGCCTTGTTGAAAATAGATTAAGAAGGGCAAAAAACACCAGAGAGAGAGAGGGAAAAGGAGGGAAAGGTAAGAGACAACAGAGGCAACACCAAAGTTGGAGAAGGTGCTCCATGGCACCTGGAACAGATAGTCCACTGCCCTAGTGGAAGATAATTCAGCTGGAAAAGACCTACAAGCTTTTGGGTGCAAAGACTTTCTTCTGGCTTTGTCAGGCCTTCTCCAGCTGGGATGCACTTAGGTTTTCAAAAGCTTAGATGCTCTTCCCATGTCTCAGTTTTTCTTGGGGTGAGTGTTACCTCTCCCAAGAAACCCCACCTTTCTTCAGAAGGGACATTTCCTTGCTTCCTCTCTGCAAGCCTGCATGGGAAGCTGACGCTCAGTGAGTTAATGTTTAAGAGCACCTGTGACTTACACGTGTGTCATCACCAGCCTTGTAAGATCCCCAAACTGATGTGTTGTGTTGTTGAATTGCTGCAGCTGGTTTGGATTGAGACACCCACAAACCCCACGTTGAAGGTCATTGACATCAGGGCCTGTGCAGATGTGGTACATAAGCATAAAGGTGTTCTTCTCGTGGTAGACAACACTTTTATGTCTGCGTATTTCCAGGTAAGCACTTGGTTTACCATCACCCCATCATTTCAGTGTGTTTGATGATAGGTTTTTAAAATGGAAGCACCACCAAGGAGCTTCTGATCAGTGGGTTGTGCAACGGCCTGGCCTGTTCCTCAGCACAGCCCCTGCACTGCTGCCCTTCAGGTGAGCAGAGATGGAATGCAAGGTATTTTCTAGCCAGCCATACCCTGGATGGAGATGGGCAGGTCAGCTCTTGGGGAAATGGCTTCTGTGACATTCAGAAATCATAGCTTTTAGTTCTCACTGATGGAAATCATAACAGGCTTCTTAAAAAGCATCCTGCTTCCTAACTGCCACTTTTTATACCAGCTCTTTTGTATTTGCTGCTTATGGTACGTTCTGAACCACTTGATATTCTAAAAAAAGAAGTGGAAAGAAAAAGTTAAAACAGGCAAACTTTGTTACACCTGACTTTGAGACATTCAAGTTACCTTTTCCTTCAATACTTTGGTGAACATAGGGCTTAGACATTTGTCATTACCTTAAACAACTGGCATTACTTTTCTGCTTTTGGTAATTAGGATACACAAAGTGAAGATTATTTCTTAAGTTCTAAAAAATGCTTCAGGATAATAAATACCAAGTCTTGTTTGTCTTAACATGGGCTGCAAATATTCATGTATATGCCCAGAAGTCCAAGCTAATCCCTTGTGTTTTAGGTGTAAAGTAAAACTTTGAGTGCAAAAGGCAAGGTGTCTGTTTTTGTTAAGGGTGCTGAGATCTTTTAAATTAAGAGAGCTTAACAGGTGGTGTTAATGCTTAGCTAAAGCAGCACTTGACTTTGGTACACACCAAAGGCTTGGAAAGATTTGTGTGAAATAAGAGAAGTCAGCATCTGGTTATAGGAGCTAGTTAATGTATCTTTTATTGGCCTGGTGCTAAGAGAAAGTCAGTTGAGATGATTAATTCTTGTAAACATAAAAGGTAGTGTCATTAAACCCCCCTGAGTGCTGCTGATACAGTGTACTAAGAAGATCATAATTTTAGAGTGATTTATATAGCAATACAGGATATAGAAGGCACTGGTGTTTATGCTGCCATTCTCCTGGCTGGCACTGGGAATGCATATTATCCACCCTCCTTGAACAGACGCCCCTGGTTAATCTGGCAGCAGCAGTTTTTCATTCTGAGTCTGCTTGCTCTGTTACCTTTTAACATATTGATGCTGCTCAGTTGGTAGAGTATGTTTATGTTGAGAGCCAAGTCCTTTACTTAGTGACTGATTGCAAGGCAGTAGGATTCCCTGCTCCTTGCCCATCAACACCTCAGTTTGCCTCACCTTAAAAAGGCTTCTGGGGAGAAAGCTGGGAGGTCTGGGGTGAGAGACCTGCCAGACTTGGCACTTCCCCCAGGTTTTCAGCTGTTCCTGCAGTGCAGGCTCAGCAATACTGGTCTCTACAAAACAATGCCCTTTTTCTGGCTTTGCTGACTGTTGAGATCTTCATTTTCTAAGGGAATATAATTTAGAGTAAATGCCATTACTTACCCTGCCTCAGCTAAGCAATATAACCCATGGGAATTAGACCAGTGCTTTTAAATCACATCTTACTATGGGTTCTTCTTACAGTGCTTATCCTTAACTCAGAGTGCTTTCCTCTACTGTTGTTTTTCCACATACTCTGTCTAGCTTCATCCTCAGCTTGTTGTGTTCAAGGTGCTTTGTGTCAAGTTTTTTGTGGGTTTTTCTCTAGTTTCCCCACCTGTTGTTCTCTGTGTTGGACCCCAACCTTTCTGGGCAGCTTGCAAGGAACCAGAGTGCACAGCAACTCTAATCAAACCTGCTCTCATTTCCTTTCAGCGCCCACTGTCCCTGGGGGCTGATATCTGTATGTACTCTGCAACCAAGTACATGAACGGTGAGTGTGTGGGCTCAGCACAGCTCAGCCTGCCTATCCAAGAGCCATCCTGGCTGCAGGCTGTTCACAACAGCCCCTGTGTCCACCAGGAATTCTTAGATGGACCATTACAGGAGATGGACCACTGGATAGCCCATTAGTTTTCACAGCTCCTAAACAAACCCTGGGAGAAAGAATATTGACCTGGCTTCACCCTGGAGGTGTTTGCAGCCATGTTGGCTTTATTTGCAGTAGGACACAGCAAGGGGCTCTGCAGAAGGTGGCTGCCAGAGATGATATGAAGGTTCAAGGAAGGTTTCATAGGGTGCACTGGGACCTGTCCAAAAGCACGTTCACTGTCTTGCCCCCCAGCCAGCCTAGACTTGCAGCTAACCTGGCTGTAGCTGGGCTGCAACCACACATCCCTGCTGATGTGGGGAGAAGTGGAAGCTTTCTGGCTGGCATTCCCTCTCAGGAAGGCAGCAGCCTGGTGCTGCTCCACAGGACGCCCTGATCCCTAAGCAGTGTCCTGCTTCCCAGCAGTCAGTGGCCCTTGGCTTGGGAAGTGTCTGGGGGCACGTGGGCAGCACACACAGCTGAGCAGGGCTTTAGAAGCAGCTGAGATCTGCCTTGGGATGCATGTGGAAGGATGGCTGTAGCAATGAGGGGGAACCTGTTGTCTCCCAAAGATGAGACTGTGTTAGCTGCAGTCCTGAGAAGATGAGGGTTTGTGGCAGAACCCTGGAGCAGGGGGAGTGGCTGATGTTGTGGCTGTTCTTGTCTTGAATTTTCAGGGCACAGTGATGTGGTAATGGGACTTGTTTCAGTAAACTGTGACAAACTCTACGAAAGGCTCAAATTCCTACAAAACTGTAAGTAGCCCATGTAGGAGATACCCTGGAATGAACCATATTAAAATACACCAGCTCACCCATGCACACAAGCATGAAATCTATCTAGAGATGTGGCTTAGGCACCTGAGTGTGCAGAAGTGTGAGCGACTGGAGGGAAATGTAAGGGACAGATGTAAGAAGCCTGAGTTCTAATGTAGAATTTTGATATATAGGTTGATTTTAACCATTTTACTGCCTCTTAATCATAATTAACAAATTTCTGTACTGTGCTCTGTCTGCCCTGTGTCTACAGCAGAGAGAGTAAAGGCATATTATGCCTAATAAATGTAGTTCTTGAGTCTTCAGGTTGTTAATTCAGCTCCCTAATTGGCTCCCCACGTGTGTGAGATGAGGAGGACAGATTGCATCAGGTGTCTTTCCACCTGTCTTGTTCTAACTCTTGAGAAATTTTGGGAATGGGGGCTGTATCTAGTGTTACTGCAAAAAAAAGCAGGCAAACCCAGACCAACCCACCACAAAACCTCTGCTTTCTGTGGGACTGTGTTTGAATGCCTGCAGCCCTGGGAGCTGTTCCATCCCCCTTCGACTGTTACCTGTGCAACCGAGGCCTGAAGACCCTCCCCATCCGGATGAAGCAGCATTTCCACAATGCTCTGGCTGTTGCCCGGTTTCTGGAGTCAGATCCCCGGGTGGAGAAAGTCATTTACCCAGGTGGGTTGGCAGGGCTTGAGGGCAGGTGACATCCTGGAGGGGGAGGACACCTCTGGGGACTGTGTGTGCTGGGGACTCTGCCTGAGGCGGGCAGGGGCTGTTCCTGGCAGCACAGGGAGGGCTGTGGGGCCCTTTGAAGCCTGGTGATTAACCCCGAGCAACTTCCCCACCCCAGGTTTGCCTTCACACCCTCAGTACGAGCTGGTGAAGCAGCAGTGCTCGGGCTGCCCCGGGATGGTCACCTTCTACATCAAAGGAAGGCTGGAACACGCTGCTACCTTCCTCAAGAACCTAAAGGTAAATGGCAGGACAGGTGCAGCACCTTGGGGGGCTTCAGGCTCTCCTGAGGGTGGTAGTGGAAGGAAGTGGTTTTTCTTGGGGTGGGGAAGAGTCTTCTTCTACTTGAAAGCTCCTGGAGTCTTTTGGGTGTAGCCATCTCTAAGTAACCTGTGATTTGTAACTGCGAGGCTAATGAGAGGGAATGCAGGCTCGTTTGAAGGATCTGTTTACACAGGAGGGTGGGGTTGAGCCAGGCTGGGGAGCCCGTGTGCCAGCCCTTTGCAAAAATACCTGCAGTGCCTGAAAGCAGGGGAGCTGTGGCTGGTGCAATATTGCTGTAATATTTCAAAGTGCTCATCAGGAGAAAAACCCATTGGGAAATGACATGAATCATGAAGCCAACAGGGAGTCCCTCGGTTTGGAGAGCAGTTGCCTGTTTATTTTACCCAAACCATAGGCTTTTGTCTTTGTAATAGAGTGATTCTGCCTGTACTCTTTCATGTGTCTGCTTCTCTTGATCTCTGTTTAATTTGCATCCTGCTCTTGTGTTTCTGCTGCTTTGTTCTTGGAAAAACAAATCAGTAATAATTGACTAAGGTAAATGAGAGCTTCCTTCTCCTCCCCATGTTTCTTACTTGCTAGCTAATGTCATCAGCTGAAAATGAATTTACTAAAAATAAGATTTTCCCAATAAACATCCTTTTAGATGAGAGACAGCATTTAATCCTGGCACAGGAGATGTACCAGCTTTGACAAAAAGCATCAGGGAGTACATTCCAGAAGTGTAGTCCCTTGAGAGTATCTTCACTTCAGCCCCTTCACGTGGATAACCATCAGTTTGCCACTAGATTAGTACAAAAGGGAAGTCATTTCTTAAACCAGGCTGAGAGAAGGACTCTTGGTTGGAGGAAACAATGACAATAGGTTTAGTTGTATTTTATTTTAAAGAAGAAAAAAAAAAAGTCAATATGAGCAAGCAGGGCTGGAGGGACAAGTTGGGGGCAGTAAGTGCATTCAGAAAGGATGACTCCTGAATCCATGTTTGAGTGCAGCTGGCTCTCTGGAGAGCCTTTTTGCCATCCTGGAAGACATGCCCATCATTCAGAGAGCAGTGGTAAAAACCCCTTAACCAGCAGTGAGCAGTTCACAAACACTAGTCCTGTTTAGGCACTGAGACATTCAGGCTGCTTTTCAAAATACTGAACTAACCATCAGAACTGAGCAATGTGGGAAAAAATCTGCTCAGCCTCATGAGGTTTATCTGAAATGCTTGTGATTTTTCACCCCCCCCCAAAGTCTGACATTCACCAGCCTGAAAAGCATAGGTGTGACATACCAAGGGTGAGGAGGGACGCTGGAAGGAGAGTATGGAAGGACAGGATATAGCCACTTAAACCTTAACTGAAACGTTTGGCCTCTGAGCCTTCCTTTGTGGAGGCAGCCTGCCCTGTCCTGCCTCTGAGCAGTGAGCACTGGTGGGGCCCAGGCAGGCCCTGCTGTGCCTTTTCCCCTCTGCTCTCCCTCCATTGCTGCCCTGGCACTGCACGGTGGGAGCGACTCCTGAGGTGCCTTTGCTGCCCATGGGCACGTTTTCTTTTCAGTTGTGCAGCAGGTCTCTTCAGAACCTTCTCAGCATAAGTCTGTTCTAAATCTTAATAGCCCTTTCCTGCTCACTGTACCCTTTTTTTCCCTAGTTGCAGGTAATATCTTTCATGATGTAAAAGTTGTTATAGAAAAAATTAGGAAAAAAACCCAAGCAAGCCACTAAGTGTTCAATTTTCCTGAACTGCCTCTTTCTAAGCATCCATAACCTTACAGTTCTTGTCTTAACTTCTCTTTATTTTTTCCTGTAGGTTTTTGCCCTGGCTGAGAGTCTGGGAGGGTATGAAAGCCTAGCAGAGCATCCGTAAGTCACTCTTCATCTCACACGTCTAAAAAGGCTGCAGAGGAACAGAAAAGCTTCTGATCTATTTTTAGGGGAGTTCTAAACGTTTTCTAGCACAGCAAGCTAAGATGTTCAGCCTGGCATTGCAATTCGAGTTTGCTGTGTAGCACAAAACCAGTGGCTGCCCCAGCAGGGAGTGTGACTTTTGGGAGTAAGAGAGGGCACTGATGGAAGCGTTTCTGTGCTTCCCGGTGGTAACTGGGAGCCTGAGGCCCCGTTTGTTGCTCTGAGAACAAATCCAAGGGCTCGGGGGGCATGTGAAGGGGCAGCAGTGAGCAGAGCTGCTGCGGAGACAGGTCTGCCATCCTGCCTGCTCACAGCAGGGGGCACGAGCAGTGTGCTGCACCGAGCTGCAGCTGCCCCCACCTCCGGGGTTTTAGCAATACCTGGTTGCCCTGTCTGCATTAAAAGGCTAAAAGTGGGAATTTTTTTTTAATGGAATTAGTTTCTCAAATTCAATTTGATTTTGGACAGTACCTCCGGGGTTTTAGCAATACCTGGTTGCCCCTGTCTGCATTAAAAGGCTAAAAGTGGGATTTTTTTTTAAATGGAATTAGTTTCTTAAATGCAATTTGATTTTGGACAGTTGTGGCTAAATTTATATGCTAAATAAATGTCAGTTACTCGTTTTAAGGGTAACAGCAAATCTTAAACCACTCCAGCAGCTGCCAGGTAACTGCCAGCTGGTGGGCAGCAGTGGCTGAGCATGTGGGGACAGAGCTTCTTACCTGTCCCCTCCATGGCTGGGGAGAACAGACTCATCAGTGTAAGTGGCAGAGTTTGACAAGTGGTCTGAGAAACCAGAAGTCAAAACAAAAAAAGAAAATCTGGTTGGTTTATACTGGGGATGGTTTATTGCAGCTGTTTCTCCACATGCTTACAGCTTTTGGATACTCCTTTTTTAGGAAAAAAAAATAATCTGGATGGAAGAGGAGTAGGCCTTTTGTTTTTTCCTCCTTTTTAATTTCTGAATTGCCAAGTGTACACTTTTTATTCATCATTTGTACCTTGGAAACACGGCCCTGAGACACTGCAGGGCCCAAGCACTGACTTCCCTGCAGCTTTGCATCACTTCCATTGGCTGGTGATAGGATCTCTTTCCATCTTCGGGTTAACCAGGGGGTGGTGCACAAAAGGTGTAAAACAATTCAGGGGCTGCTGCCAGGAAACCAGCGGGTTTGGTCTTCACTGATAAAAGTAGAAGCTTCTTAGAAGCCAGGCCTGGTGTTTCCCCCAGGGCCCTCATGACTCACGCGTCGGTGCCTGCAGAAGACAGAGCAGCTCTTGGGATCAGTGACACATTGATCCGCCTGTCGGTTGGGCTGGAGGATGAAGAAGACTTGCTGGAAGACATAGATCAGGCTCTAAAAGCTGCGGTGAGTGGGTGGTGCCTTCGTGCTGTCACTCTATAAATCACTTCCCCTCTGGTCCCCTGCCTTTCTCTCTGCTGGCAACGCTCACCCCACTTCTTCTTGAGCTACCCCTGCGTGTGGGTTTGGAGCCTTGGCTGCCAGGGTGCTGTGAGCAGCAGGGCCTGCAGGCCTTCTCAGCCACATTCCCATGGCTTCCCCAAGCAGACAGGATGTCCCTGGCATCCAGCTGGTCAGGTCATGCTGAGGGGAGGCTCTCAGCCAAAGTGCCCTGTGTGTGCTTCAGATTTTTCATGCTGCAGTGGCAGAGAGGGCTGGTGTGTATTAAGGAGCTTCAAGAAAAGACCCTCTACCTGACAGCATGTCCAATACTTAGGTGGTGCCATTTCCCTTCTAAGCACTGCTTGTCCTCCTCCTCTACCCACAGCTCTCTACCCCAGCCAGTAGCTTAAAATTGAGTTCTGTTCCCAAGAACCCAGTTTGCCTGACACAGAACTTCACTCCCGGGAAGGCAAACCCCTTGATTTGCAAAAGATAAATGTTCTCCTAGTCTGTAACCACTGGATCACACGCTGCTCCCACACAAGCAAGTGTTGCTTCTGGACAGGGCAACATTTCCTCAGGGCAGCAGGGTCTCTGCCATGCTGAGGGGTGGGCGAGGGGGTCAAGGAGAAGGAGACAAACCAGGGAGTGCAGCAGGGCACACACTGAAGAGGGGCTTCAGCAAGTGTTGGAATAAAGTTTAATAAACAACCACACTAAAAAGCACGAGTTTCCTTCTTCCCTTCTCCTAGCTTGTGCTTTCACACTGCAGGAGCACAACAAGTGTTTGTTGGCTTGTCTGTTTGATTTCTGTGAGTGGGAATTCTGCAGATGGGGTGACTTCCCTGGAGTCCTCGTGATGCCAAGGACAGAGCTCCCAGTCTCTGGGCCCTGAGTCAGTTCCAGGTGGAGGGCTGAGGCAGAACTAGGTTCAGCACTGCCATGTTCTCCTCTGCCACCTCTGCAGGCACCCAAAATAACTGAAAAATATAAAAGTGTCTGAAATAGGGTTTTGTCTGTGTGAGAGACCCTGGTGGCATTGGTGGGTAGAGTATGAACTTGAGTCCTGCAGCAGCTGTAGCACATGTGTGGCAGTTTGATGTGCTGCACAGACTGGAACTGGAGTGGAAATAAAGTCCCTCTACTTTTCACTCTTTTTTTATTATTTTTTTTTATGTGTTTTGTTTGCTGAATACATTGCATGTATTTCTGTGTGTCAGCACAGAGCATGAGGATAATCCAGTGCTAAAATGTCTCTCAGGGGTGTATAGAATCTTGATCTCTCGTTTCTCCTTCTCGTTGCAGTTTGCAGGCCACAAGGCTTGATGTTGGAAACTGGAACTTGGCGTTGGACGTGGAAGAGGCTGAAGAAGGTGACACAGAAAGCCCAAATTGCTCATGATTTTCCTTTGATTTGCCTGTTGAGGTTTGCAATCTGCCCATCCCACCCTGGATCCCCGGGGAGCTCTCCCTGTGCTGTTGCTGCTCCTCTGCTGGGGCCTGGCTGGACACAGGTGGCAGCCTGTGCCCTCCCTGCCTCTGCTCTGCTGTAGTGCCTTTGGATTTGGAATTTGTGGAGTCAGGAAGTTGTGTCTGGCAGCAGCCACCATGCACCCTCAGGAATGTGACCCTGGTTCTCTCAGAGATCAGTGTTTCCCAGCCCTCCTGCTGCAGGGGGGTTAGGTCAAAAGGGCTGGGGTCTGTTACTGCTCCTCAGGAGGGACACGATGCTTCTCATCTCTTCTCATCCACAGTCCAGCTTAAAAATTGATTTACCTTAGGGTTTTTTTTTTTCAAATTAGGTTGGAAATATGGTTAAACACTTTTTCACCTGTTGATACTTTATGGAGCATTGAAGATGAAGCAATGGTAAACAATGGTAGCTTTCTAAGGAGGGTTCTTTCACTTAAAAAATAATCATGGAATGTTAATTGTGGTAATGATTTGATTTATATTTTGAATTGGAATAATTTTAATTAAAACATGCTTTAAATTTCCCTGATGTGTGTCTTCTTTTGACATTTGTGGACACTGCTTGTATTCAGAACCAGGCAATGAAATGAGCCTGGACTTGTTGCAACTTTCCTATGGGAAAATAATTGATGTTTTTACTTTTGTCAAGAAAAAGGAAGATCTAGATCCTAACATGTGACAACTGAACAAGATCCAGGCAAGGGGTATCCAGCCCCTCAGTGCAGGCAGAGCTGTGAATAGCTACAGACTGCTATTTGTTGTAATTAAAATTAAAACTGTGCTTCCTGCACCAGGTCAATACAGCATTTTGGTGTGAAGCAGGAAGTGCAAAGATAATCCTATCAACCTGCCCAGGCACTGTGCCTTCTGGGCAGCAAACAATTGCCTGTATTGACACACAAACAGCACTCTTGATGATCTAGAATGATTAAAGAGAGATTAACTCTTGGGAAAGAGAAGGTGAAGGTATGTATGGCCTACAAACACCTCATTTGTATTGCCAAATGTGTCATAAAAGCCTGTGCAAGATGGATGAGCTGCTGCAGGGGACATGGGGCTGGCAGGTGGCATGAACATGAGAAGCTCTTGAAAAGTCCAGACTGCTGATGCAGCCTCAAAGGCACTGTGGTTGTTGGGTGAGTTGGTATCTCTCCCCACTCCACTGAAAACCATCTTCCCTTCCACGTTGATAAGCTCTTCAATCTTCACCTTTGTGGTTAGAATGCTTTTTGATACCACAGTATCTGATTTAATTCCTGTGTTCTCAGCCTGGGTAGTTTCTCTAGTGTCCTCAAGGTGGTACCAAGTGGTGAGGATGGGCAGGTTTGGACAGGATGAGCTGAAGGTTTTCCCTGTGCCAGCAAGGAGCTGGTAGGGAGCTGGGAATGCCCCTTAGGGGGCACTGATGGGCTGGGAACCGGGGCCAGGCCAGGTGAGCAGCTCAGGAAGCAGAAGTAAGTCATTATTCTTCATTCATCTGCGTATCCTCGATGGACGTTGCCAAATTAGATCACAAATGTCGGGATAAGATTTCACTGCAGGTGGAACAGCCTGGGCTGTGTTCCTGGTGGGCTGAGAGGAGACAGCCAAGCCTGGGGCTGCAGGTGAGGGCTCTGGAGGGGGCAGGAACCCAACACCCACCAGCCCTGGGTTTTGCTGAGGGGCTGGGTCCTGCCCTCCTGGTCTGACCTGTGCTCTTGGTGTGGCTTGTTCTGGTGAGCCAGAGGCTGAGCTGAGCCCTCCCAGCCCTGCTCCAGCTCAGCATTTAGCTTCTTGCAATCCAGTCAGCAAGTTCTAAGTAATTCTGTGTGGAACAGCTTTGCACTCAGGAGACCCTTCCCTCTGCTGAGGCTTTCCCAGGCCTGGCACACAAACGTGAGTGCCCTGCTGGTCCCAGCAGCTGCCTGAGCATGGACCACTCCCCAGGAGGAGCCTCTGAAGAGCTGCCATCCAGGGGCTGGGAGGGCTGGCAGGCCAGGGCAGCTGGTGCAGGCTCAGCCACATTGCTGCCTGTTGTGTGCAGCCTTTGGGGTTGTGGTTTAGTTTTTCTTGTTCCTCCAAACTGCTGGTTACACCAGGACAGCAGCCCACAAAGGCCAATCCATGGGAAAGCTATCGGGCCCAAATGTTTTTGTAGGAACTGTGTGCACTCTGCTGTGCAACCAGCTCCAGGTCCACAGTTCATCTTTGGCTGCTTGTGAAAGGACCTGACTGTCTGGTTTGTGACAAAGAGTATCTCCCATGGCATGAACAGCTTGTGTGCTCCCTAATCCTTTGGCTGCTGCTTCTGCAGACGTGAGTTTCCTTAATACCATTTGTTTGGAGCAAGGAGACATGAGGCTGCCAGGAGCTAAATTCTCAATGAATTGCTCAGTGATTTGACTAACACATGCAATGTTGGTTTGAAGTTGGCTGTAAGGTTGTCCTCCCTGCAACCAGGGGCTGGCCAGGACCTGCTCTTGTGGGGAGGACTTGAAGTGAGTGGTAGGAGAGTGCAACAAGCTAGTGGTACATCCAGACAGATGAGAATCCTTTGAGATCTTCCCAAAATAATTATTTTTATGACTTCCCTGGAGTCATTCCATCTGCCCCCTCTCCCGGGGTGACCCCAGATGCATCATGGTTTCACATACCACATTTGTTCTGAAGTTAAAAGGGAGCATTTCATCCTTTCATTAGATTTTGCAGCCCTGGATTCAGATTGCATTACACTTCAAGGAGAATTTCTTTTTTATGTTGAAGCCCAGATCACACTTGTACTGAATGAAGATTGCCTTTGTTTCCTGGACAGTAATTGCACAGCTCTAAGCCTAGAAACAAGACCAATTAAGCTGTGTCTGTTCTGGGAAGCTGCAGCCTGAAGGGGCCAGGTGAGCAGGGGCAGCGGATGGAGCTGGGACCCTCACGGCTGGAATCCCCCTGGGATGGCTGGGGACACTGCTGGTGGTTTTTGGGGTAATGTTGAGAAGGTGCCTACTCAGCTCTTCCCTGAGATGCTTGGGAGAGAAATTAGTTGTGTTCGTTTGACAGATGTTTACCCTCCTGAAGGAGAGGAGCTGCTGATCTCCCTGCAACCACCGACTCGGTGCCCCGCACCACAGGCGGGTGTGGAGTGAACCCCCTGCAGCCAGAGGGGTGCCTGGGGAAGGGAAGGTGTGGGCATCTGCACCCCAAATCACCCGAGAGGGTGGCAGGAGCAGACAGGGCTCGTGGCAGGAGCAGCTGAGCTGGTGGGACCGGGCGAGCGGTGCCACCCCCGCTGGGGACCCTGGGGACCTGGGCTGCCCGTCCCGCTGTGCTGCACAGGAGGTGCCCGGCCTGGGCCTTAGAAATGGCAGCAAGAGCTGGAGGCAGCACCTCCCACACTCCCTCCCAGCCTCAGATCCCACTCCCTGCAGCTTTTTTTGGCATTTATTGGCAGCAGAAGCCAGGGTTGTGAGCGCTTGATGAAGGGCCTTGCTGTTCCCCAGCCGCAGTGCAGCCAAGAGCTGTACCACATTAGACAGATGAGTTCTTAGAAATGTCCAGCTTTACTTACAGGAAAGCTGCTGTCACTGAAATCTGCAATTTGTCACAACTGCAGGGCCTGAGGAGCACAGCCAGCACCCAGGGACACCCTGCGTTCCTTCCCGTTCGGCGGAGACACTCGCCTGCCCTGCAGCTCTGCAGACCGGCCCTCGCTGTCACCACTGGCCGCCAGCACAGGAATATGAAGATGCTTCATCTTCTCCTGCTGCCCTGGGTGCGTGTCAGAGCACAGGCTGGGAAACAGCAGCTCAGTGTCCTGCGTGTTTGTGGACTGAGTGGGCTGGAAGGCAGGAGCTGCAGCAGAGCAGATGCACCCCTGGGCTGGTGCAGCTCCCCTGCCACTGCAGGCACCTCTCTCAGGAACACTGGGCTGAGCCTCCAGTCCTTCACAGTTTTTTTTTTCATCTGCTTTTGTGTGCAGCAGCTGACCTACAAATGCAATTTTTGTTCCTCCCTTTTATTGTCTTCTGTGACGAAAATATCGATTCCCTCATGACTTGCTGGAAGCCGGGGGGTGGAACCTGCAGGCCGGGCTGTGGCCCTGGCCCTGCCAGCCTCCCCCTGCCCAAGCCCAGCCACGGGTCCCCAGTTTCCAGCTGCTGTTTTCAGCTCTACAAGCACCCATGACATCTTATTTTCCCTCTGCTGCAGAACACATTCCACCTCTGGCATCACACCCCTGCTTCACTGCAGCAAAAGGCTGTGGAACTGCCCACGTTTCCTCCCGCCGTGTTTACCTGGGCGGGTGTTTGCCCAGTGCCTGGCACTGCTCTCCCTGAGCCTTCCCCACTGCGGCACCTGCCTCAGCTCCCCCCTCCTTCCCTCCACACCCTGGGGGGCTGCAGACCCTCCCCAGGCCCAGCAGCTGCTCCCTGTGGGGTTGGGACCTTCTGCTCCCTTGCCACAGGGGAACAACATCCTTCCTCACCCAAGTGCTGCCTCCTCCGAAGCCTTGGAAACACCAGCTTCCCTGGGGAGAGTTTTCTGGGCCAGACTGGGGCTGTCAGGGCGTTGCCAAGGGCAGAAGTGGAAAGGAAGGGAAATATTTGATGAAAAAAGAGATGTTTGAGCCCAACACCTCCCTCTGAAGGCCAGTTATTTGGGAGGGGGAACAGATGCCTCTCACACCAAGGAATCCCAGACTGGTTCGGCTGGAAGGGACCCTAAGGATCACCTAGTTCCAGCCCCCTGCCACGGGCAGGGAAAATCCCTGACACAGCTTGCAGAAACGGGAAGAAGAACGTATTTTTTTTGTGCAAAAGGGAGATCAGGCCTAATGCTGGGGAGTGGTGGCTCTGCAGGACCCGCTGTGCGTGGGAAGCAAC